TTGTGGTCCTGCAGCAATTTCTAGTCATCTGGTTGATGGTCGGTTTCTTCCCAAACTTGGAAGTTCAATCTGAGCATTGAGGAGCATGCAGAAAAGGAAACAGAAAAACAACAGCAACAACAGAAAAAAAAAAAATCAAAGAACAGGGAAAAAGAGAAGAAAAAACGAAGAGAAAAACTTTTTAATAAAACTAAAAGAATTTCAATAAAACCCCAAAATTAGAAAACCACGCAGTGCATGCTGTGCAAAATGGCTAGTTTGCAGGAGCCATGAAGGTGTGTCTTCAAGAAGGCCTGTTCCCTTTCTTTTGCTTCTCCACGCGAGTTTTGTGTGTTGGAGGCCGAATTATCAGTGGGAAATCTTCATTTCTCGGTGTCCCCCAAAATGGCTAGTTTGCAGGAGCCATGAAGGTGTGTCTTCAAGAAGGCCTGTTCCCTTTCTTTTGCTTCTCCACGCGAGTTTTGTGTGTTGGAGGCCGAATTATCAGTGGGAAATCTTCATTTCTCGGTGTCCCCCAAAATGGCTAGTTTGCAGGAGCCATGAAGGTGTGTCTTCAAGAAGGCCTGTTCCCTTTCTTTTGCTTCTCCACGCGAGTTTTGTGTGTTGGAGGCCGAATTATCAGTGGGAAATCTTCATTTCTCGGTGTCCCCCAAAATGGCTAGTTTGCAGGAGCCATGAAGGTGTGTCTTCAAGAAGACCTGTTCCCTCTATATGTTACATATTTTTTTTTTTTGAGAGATTTTCACTGTAGGGCGCGTGCGCTCGCCAGATAGACAGAGAGAGACATAGAGACAGAAAGCGAGAAATCACCCCCCAGGGGGGATGGTCATGCCGCAATCCCTTCTCCATTCTCCTCTCGGGATCTTGGGCACACACGCACATGCGCCCGGCGTGTTTTAAGCCACCGGGTCCGGGACACGAACCGTGGTCAACTACGTGGGAGTCCAGCGACATAGCCATTACGCTAACTGCTGGTTCCCCTTATATGTTACATTTTTAAAGAAGGTAACAGTAATGTTTCATTTATTTAACATCCTAAGAAAATGAAGGATTCCTAATTAGTGAATTTCTTGTACAGTTTAAATTTACTCCTTTAAGTGCTGTAAGTTAATTTTAAACAACAGCTATTTTAATGGTAATCTTCTCTGTAAAATTTTTTATATTCTCATAAATAAGACAATTGAAACTTCTAGATGATGTAAAAATCTTATGATACTGTATAATTGGTCATGTTCTATGAGGATTGTTTGCTGTGTATACAGAAATAATCTTGAACAGCTACGATTTTTTGTGTTTGTGTTTTGTTTTATGTATTTTGATGCTTTTATAAGTTTTATCTCCTTTGATAAAAAAACTGTCATTTCTTGTCTAATATCTGTTGTCCATTGGCCTATTTCTACTCTTCTACTCTCCTGTTACTATATTCACTTAAATTCCAAAAAGGATTTAAGATTACTTAAAATGTATCAGGAAAACCCCATGGCCTAATGTTTATGGGAGCTAGATCCCACATGATCAGCCATACAGTTTGCATGCCTGCCCCAGCGGCTCAAAAACACTGAAATCATGTGCATGCATCCTTCCCTCATCAGGGAAGGATGGAGAAATGGAGAAGGGATTACAGTATGAACATGCCTCATTGGGAGTATTTTCTCTTTCTCTCTCTCTCCGTCTCTCCATCTCTCTCTAGTGAGTGTGTGTGTCCTCTGGCATCTGGCAATTACGCACGTACACACACACACACACACACACACACATACACACACACAATCTGTACTCTATGTTTTGACAAAGAGGGAGAGGAATACTGAACTTTGTGGCCAATTGAGAGCCAACCTATGTATGTTTTAATGGAGAGAAGGGCAAAGTACTCTCCTAAAAGATCAGTTTGTAATCCCTCTACTGTGCTAGAGAGAAGAGTAGTTAGGCTTCTCATAATTGTGCCTAATAGGATTGGCTCAGTAGCACAGTGGTTAAAAGGAGTCAGGGGGCTGGCAGGTGGTGTGGTGGATAAAGGCGCTGGACTCCCACATGGCCGCCCACGGTTCAAGTCTCTGACCTGGTGGCTTGCTTTCTCCCTTTCTCTCTCTCTCTCTTTCTTGCTTTCTGGTCAAATGAAAAAAAAAAAGAATGAATAAATAAAATTAAATAATTATAAAAAAAAAAAAAGGAGTAAGATCCTGCATGACTGACTGTGGTTCAAGTTTCTGGAGGTTTGAAAAACATGCTGAGCATGTGCACATATATGCCCAAAATCCTGATGGGAAGGAGGAACAAAGGAGGAAGGATTGGGGCATCTTACCATGCCCCATGGGAGGGGGTAGTTTTTAAATCCCTCTTTTCCTCTCCCTCCCTCCCTCCTTCCTTCCGTCTCTTTCTTGGGTGAGGACATGTGTCCGCTGGCAATAAAATTAACTTTTTTTTGTCTAACACACTAGGGTTAAATGGGCTTTAGGAATAAGGCTCAAAGTGTTCTCATAAAGTATATAAATTTAGGATGTACTTTTATTTGATAATTATTAATTTAATGCTTGAATAGCTAATATGTTCACGAAAGTCAGACCTCTAAAAATATAACATGTAAATGCAAAGTCTCCACTTAACACTCATTTGCTCAGTTCCTACTGATCCCTTAACCATTAGTAGCATTCTGTTCTTTCTAGTTCCCTGTTTTCTTGGTAATCCAGAGCTATGAAATTGATGGATTCCTTTAGTTGAAGAGAACCAAAACATTTTATAAGACCTTTCCAAGAGTATTTTCTCTTCTTCCCCCAACCCTGTTGTACTTCACACCCTTCCCTTTGGCTGGTTGGAATGAAAGGTCTTGACTTTTCTCTGACTGGAAAGATGTTACACATATTCCAGTATTGCCCCGCTTCCTTTGCCTAGTGACTGGATTGATCACTGTTTTACCTACATCTTATCTTGTTCCAATATTGAAAACCGGGTGTTTCTGTTATGCATTTTCTTAAAGTTAGACTATACTTATTTCAGAAATGGTTTTTAATCTTAAGGCCCAATATGAATGCTTTATTTTTTACAATAAGTTTTTGTCTGCATTTAGATGACACAGTTAACTGGTATTCCAGTAGTGAAGAGGAAGAAGGAAACAGTGTAAGGTCAATACTGAAAACATTACAGAAACAAACTGAAACTTTAAGGAATCAGCAACAACCTTCCACAGAACTCAGCACTCCTACTGATCCAAGACTTGCTAAAGAAAAAAGTAAAGGAAACCAAGTGGTTGACCCTAGGCTTAGGACTGTCCCAAGACAAGACATTAGAAAGCCTTCTGAATCTGCCCCACTGGATCTTAGACTCTCATGGGATCCCAGGAAATTAAGAGGGAATGGAAGTGGTCACGTGGGCTCTTCTGTTGGTGGAGCAAAGTTTGATTTACATCATACAAATGCTGGCACTAATGTCAAACACAAAAGAGGAGATGAGGATGATGAAGACACAGAAAGAGAACTGAGAGAAAAAGCTTTCATAATACCTTTGGATTCTTCACCTGGTATAATGCTCCAGGATCCAAGGTCACAATTGAGACAGTTCAGTCACATTAAAATGGACATCATCCTAACCAAACCCAACTTTGCAAAACACATTGTATGGGCTCCAGAAGACTTACTTCCAGTACCTTTACCTAAACCTGATCCAGTATCTTCAATCAATTTACCTCTGCCCCCTCTTATAGCTGACCAGAGGCTCAGTAGATTATGGAATACAAAAAGTGATCTTCATCAAAACACAGTGTCTGTTGATCCAAAATTAGCAGCAAAAGCCAAAATTAACACAACTAACAGAGAAGGCTACCTAGAACAATTAGGAGACTTACATAGTTCAAGTGGTAAATTAGGGGACCCTAGGCTGCAAAAGAATTTTGATCCTAGACTTCACAGACTGTCTAATACAGAATCTCATCAAGTAGTTTTGAAGGAATCACATACATCAAAGGGTACCTCTCACATAGCCAGATCAAACCCTGGTTCATCACAGCCCTCAGGGGCAGTAAGCAGCAGTGCTGGTCCCGGGGCTCTGCCTCCATACGCTCCTAAGCTCTCATCATCAGCTAGCCTTCCACTGGGGACTCCAAGTTCAGTGCTCAGTGGTATTAGTTTGTATGACCCAAGGGAGCATGGTTCATCTCCATCAGAGTTAGCAACAGTTTCTTCAGGAGAAAATGCAGAGAACCAGAAAAAAAGTGGTGGTTTAAAAAGTAGTGACAAAAATGAGCCTTCTCCTGGAGAAGCAATCCTGTCACAGAAAACCACTCCCAATGTGGAAGTCACTGTAGAAGGACCAGCTGACCCACAGGCAGATACTCTCAGGAGTCCTGGGAAGGCTCAGGTCCCGGCAGTGCACAGTCTTCCTATTCAGGCACTAACAGGCTTGATTAGACCCCAGTACAGTGACCCAAGGCAGTCAAGACAGCCAGGGCAGGTGAGCCCAACCCCAGAGGGTGATCCCAGTAGAGAAACAGATGACAAATCTCTGAAAGAGGTTTTTAAAACTTTTGATCCAACTGCTTCACCATTTTGTTAGCTGTTGTGTAGTTAAGCGATTCTTTTCATTCATGTGACTATTGCAGCCCCTCTACTGTTTTGTAACTGGTTTACCTCTATAGTTTATTTATTTTTAAATTATAAACACTTTTCAGCTGCTAGTATCAGAACCACATGAAGTTATCCTCTAAAGCCTGTGGTATTTTATATAATATTTTTATAACTTGAAGAAACTGTAGTAATTGACATAGAAACTTATATATCATGTTAGCATCATTCAGAGTACTTTTATTGTAAATAAACCATCATGAACTCAACATTCTGCCTGAAGATATGCCAGTTGTCTTTCATAATCAATGTTTAGATAAATGATTATCACTTTTATATGGTTGTTTAGTTTCAAGCAATATGATGTACATTACTTTTGAGAAACAGTATTTTGACTAGGACCCTCTATTTGTCAGCACAGAACTTATTGATATATAATGCTAACTGCTAAGTAATATGTAAAATGAACTAAAGAAAGATTTTAAAATCATAATTAGGAGAACAGTTCATGTTTAAGGGCATCACTTTTATTAGTATTGGCAATATTTGTGTAAATGAAGAATTTGAATGTCATATCTTTTCAAAGTATTTTTTCTGATATGTAAAGTAAATGTTTCTTTATTTTTTATTTTTTTCTAATTTATTTATTATACATTTAATCACATTATTTAACTTATAAAGTGAACATTTCAATATGTGAACATTTCTCCCCAATCTGGTTGTTCAAAATATCTTCAACAGATAACCCTCCCCGTCCCATCAATGCTCTATCTCCACAACCCTCCTCAAAATGTCCTTCTCCAGGCCTCACTCCTCCACACATACACCACATCTGGTAATCACACCCATCTCGTGTGTTTGTACATCCTTTAGTCAGTCAGTTTCAGTCATAGAGTGCAGACACTCAGTATATATTAAGTGGGGACATACAATGTCTCTCCTTCATAGCCTGGCTTGCTTCTCTCAGCAGTAAATCTTCCAAATTCTTCCACTTTAGTGATGCCCTTAGAACAGTTCATGTTTAAGGGCATCACTTTTATTAGTATTGGCAATATTTGTGTAAATGAAGAATTTGAATGTCACATCTTTTAAAAGTATTTTATTGTATACCGTATCATAGAAGGTGGAGGCTTATAAGTAGAATGCTTTGCTAATGTGAAAAATTCCCCAATTCTCTAACATAACTTTTTTAATTTAATTTTTCAAATTAAATAGTTATGAGTTACTGCTGTGTTACATTGTGATGTTTATGTGCTTCGATACTTTTGTCTTTAGCAGCATAATTTGTTACTTTTCCAAATGATGTAGCTGCAATAATTGTGTTCATCATGACTTTGGCAGTTTTTAACAAAATTTTGAAAGATCCAGTGAGTCTGTAGTGGTTATTAAATTGATAATGTTTTAAATGTCTAGGTTCTATATACTTTTTTCTTAAGTAGCGAGAAAACGTAGAGATTGCAGGTATAGTCAACTGTATATGGTTACCAATAAAGAATCTCTTTCAGATCTCCCCCAAATGGTGTTCTGTAACTGAGGGAATTGCCTGGCGTTTTAAGTATTTAATGTCTTCACAGTTTCAAAGTCTCCAAAATTGATTAGAATTGTATTTTATGGAAAAAAAAAAACTTACATTAGTTCTTGTGGATTTGTAAAGGACAACTCAATTTGTTTTATACATACATAATTTGTAAACAAATTAAGTATTACACTGATATTGATATCTTGAACTGGAGGTATGTGACAGTATTTGCTGGTAAGAGATCCAATAAGTAACTTGAAAACAAAGAAGGATTTTAAAAGATAATGTAAGTGAGTAATGAAATCAATCCTTAGTTTAAAACAGCTACCTTGAGAACTGATTTTAAAAATATATAGCAGAATATTTCTGTGGGGATTTAATACTCAGGTAGCAAATGGTTTAATAATAATGTATATCCTTTCTATTTTTATTTTCAACCTTTTTTTTTTTGTTTTGTTTTGTTTTGTTTCAATTTCATCCTAAAATGGAGTTGCAGTTAAGTGAGCAAGAACTCAGCTTACCTAATAAATTCATTTTGTTCTAAGTGGAAGGACATTTACTTACTGGAATGTAAATGCTTACTGTTTATACTTTGGTTATACTTACTGCCCAAACTGTCACTGGATAACATTTTTGGGTGAAAATGCAGTTCAAAGACACCATAAAAAGTATTTTCTGATTTACTATTCAAATAAACTGTATTATTAATTGAAAAGTCAATAAAATGGAAAAAATTGCCTTTATTTTCTAAAGTATAATATATTTTATAAGGATAAAGGCAATAAAATAACTGAATTTTATTAATTGAAGTTTTAGCAATCTTTTATTTGTATATTTTATAGTTATTATAAAATGTAATGCTCTTTACATTTTTAAATATCATTTAAAAAGATAATTTGGCTTGTGAAAGATCAAAATAGAATCCAAAGTCTTGATAGATCATTTTTACCACTTAAAGAGATGTTAACAGATTCATTAAAAGGTAAGATTTAAAGTCATTACTACAAATTATATGTTTGTTTATTCAGTATTCTTGAGTAACTGTTATATCAGCTAGTGTCCTAGATACCATTTTACAAGAAAACTTGGACATAGTTTCGAATTCAGTAATATGTTTTGTATAAAAATATTTATTAATGTGGTTAAAGTGGCTGGATCCCACATTGCAAACTGTGTGGTACAAGTCCTAGATGCAGAAACTTGCTGGAATCTTATGCCTGCATGCCTAAAATCCCAAGAGGGAGAAATGGAGGAGAAGAGAATGTGGCAGGACCATGCCCCATAGGGAATGCTTGTTCATTTTCACATTCTCTCTGTCTCTCTCTAGCAACTGCACATGCCTCTGGCAAAATTTTAAAAAGTTGATTATTTGTCAGTTTTTTATTGAGATAGTAATTTAGGGGCTATTCTGCCTTATCAACATACATTATTTTAATATTCTCTCCCATTTTTCTCACAACATATTTAATAAATAGCCATTTTCCCCAGTGACTGAGCTCTTCTTTAAGGTGAATTTGTGCTTTTAGAGGCCAGGAAATTGGATTTACACTATTATGCTGAAATGTATGCTGTGTCCCTATTCTTAGAAGCCACACAGTTAAAAAGAAATAACTTGTGTCTTAAAAGAACTGAGTAGGCTCAGTTCTGAGTAGGCTCATCAGTTGAGATTTAAGTTAACTATACTGGTTTGTGGCAGAAATTTTGTATTTCTTCACTTTGAAGTATAGGATATTGAATTGGGATACCCAGAAGATTATAATTGAGGTTGAACAACCACACTTCCATATCTGGGTTCAAATTTCATTCTGAATCTTGAAAACAAACCATGTGTTGGAGTGATTTCAAATTCTTGTCTTGGCTATTGGGTCTGTCTCTGTGTGGACCCTTGTGTTTCCCAGCAGAATACCCCAAACCCCAGAATTATACTGCCACCAAAGCAGCCTAATTGTGAAATGATGTTTGCTTAGGTTTCTAATTGTCTTTTAACTTGTCATGGGACTTTAAATAGTAGTTTTCTTTGTTATTCCTACTTATTTTAAAATGGAAGAATAGCTGATTAGTAAAGAAATCCTGTATGAACTTTTAGCTAAGCTTCTTTGCTGAATTAATTAGAGAGTGGTAAGGGAGAACTTAGAAGGGCTGGGTGGCCACCTGCTGGATAAAGTCATTTTCATTTGTTTAATGGCAGCTAGCAGTTGGGACTTTCTTAAGGACCTAAATGTGAGTTCTTGGAAGGACTGTCAAAATCCTTTTTTTTTTTTTTTTTGCATAACACATAATCTTTTGGTGAAGATGTTTTCCTAATTCCCCAAGAATTGTGTGTTGAGGGCAATAGTCAAAGGGATGATTAGGCTTTCTGTGAGTTTCTAAAATGAGGAGTTGTAATTACCTTTTCAGAAATGATTTGACAGTACTTGATAAGTTCAAAATTAAGACCAGTGTGTAAGCATTAATAAGATATACTTAGCTTAAATAAGACTTAAGTTTAGAAAATCTTAGCTTTGGCAAAATGTAACCATATTGGTCTTGAGTGTACAAAGCAGTTTTCCTTCTTGCTTAGGTGTTATGAGTTAGCTTATGTAATGCCTTTCCCCCAAGCACCTTCATGTATTTTGCAGAACCAGTTGCTGTGGCTGTCAGTCGCCATGTTGCTGGAGTTTTGTGTTTGTGTTATTTATCAGCAGTGTCAGCTAGTTGTAACAAAACCCAAATATACCTTCTTGGGAAGGATACAGACCCAAGTTTAGGTTAATATCAACATAGTACTTACAATATCTAATTTTTAAGTTAAAGCATATTTTAAACCATATTTATACCTTTGGGGACAAGATTCATATGTCTGCTTATTTTTATAGTTTCCATGGCAACAAGTCTAATTCTAGGCACATAGTAGATGCTTTGTTAATTGCTTGTTGATTGCTTCCTTATGTCCATCCAAGCATACGCTTTACAGATGCTGTCAACTATTAGAACAGATGTGGCACAAGCATTCTATGATTATTAGAAGGAATGCAACCTACGAATCATACCTCTTTCAGTAGATGCAAGGAAGCAACTTCTCTTTTTTCTGTCCCCAGCCAGCCCCCAAACAATGTGAAAGCAGAGTTGTGGTGACTTTACTTAGAAGTTATATGTTTTATAATAATTCATAACTTGGAAGAGTCCTTCAGACTGACAAGATAACTCTGCTTACTCCATGGTAAACATGAATAGTCAATAATTTATTCCTATGGACCTATGAAAGATTCTTTCTGTAACCAGAAAATGAACTGCATAACTATTTTTTATTTTAAAATATGTTCCTCTGATTTTCCTCTCATTCCCCTCAAAATATCAACCAAAATTTATGAAGATAGGCCTAACATAGTGAATTATCAATAGCATTTAAAATTCTTTTCTCTTGACAGTATGAATTTTAGTTTACCTTTCAAGTTGTGATTGGATTCTAATTTTGGGTTTTGTTGTCTGGTCTTTAAATATCCTTCATTAGCCTTTGGAACAGAACAATCATGTGATACAGTCAGCAAAATGATTGTAGGCATAAAGGAAATCTGTTCCTTCAAAGAAGTGAATTCTTAGTATTTTAAAGTATTGCTTATTCTTGAATCCTTTAAGAAAATTGAGCATAAGAAAAATGTGAATATAGTATTTTACAAACAGTCAACACTGTAAAGTATCAAGCTCCATACTTGGTCCCTTACTGATTTTAATACCTTTACAATATTGAGAGAAGTGGTGAAATTTGTGTTTGCTAATATTTTAGGTCTGATAGAAGATTTATTGTGAAAAAATTAAATATAGAAACTCTCACTTAAAATGTTCCCAAACTCCCACAACTAGCAACATCTTGGTGTTACTTGTTCATAATGATAGACTATATGTTTTATATGCTTTTTAGTAGAGAAGGTGAAAAATGATAACCATTATTACAGGTTAGAGGTTTTGGTCATTGTTTTACAGGAGTTTGCCCTCCAAGTGTTTGAGAGTATTCAAATAGGATATAGGATATCATCTTTTCAAGAGGTAGAATGTAATTTTCTTAT